TAATCCTCTCTACATAGGAGATTTCTTATTGTGCTATTCTGAATAAAGCCAGAGAAGAGACGTGGTTATAAGGAAGCTGGGCATTTCAGGAGGAAGAGTCAAGCTTTTCTATTGCTGGGCTGAATGTGCTTCCTGCTATATAAATCCCCTCTGGATTGCCCTGCATACAACAGTCCGTTCCCCCTGGATGAAAGGGAAGGGCCAATATCTTACCATTAACTAGGCCTTCTCTTTAGGGACAGACACAACAGCAGCGTGAAAGGCAGCAAGAGGATACCTTTTGCTGACCCTGAACCAGCAGGACCATGGCACACATGCTGGAGGACATAGCGAGACCTTCCCTTTCCACCCTATCCCTATGTGCAGGGCTTTGCCTCATCTTGGTGCTGCTAAAAGTGCTTCAGCTGTATTGGAAGAAAAAAGAGCTCATCAAAGCTTTTGAGAGCTTCCCAGGCCCTCCCAGACACTGGCTATATGGCCACAACCAAGAGGTAAGGAGAAGTTGGGGATCAAGCTGTATACACCCTGAGGGTCAGCTCTGATGAGCCAGTTGTGAGAGGGGAAGGAACATGGCACAGGGAATCTGCTGGAAGGGACTTTCCTTTCATCTGAACTTGCAATTGTGCAGTTAGCATCAGACTTAGGCATGTTGTTTAGCGCAGAAAAAGAAGAGGTTGTCCTTGTTTTTGGCTCCTTTAAAAAATGTTGAGAGTCCTACCAGTTTAAGCAGGGCTGCTAAAAGCTAAACACAAGCTTAAATGCTTTCCATGGTCAGGGCCTTGGTGATGGAACAAGTCATGTGGAAAGCCTTTTTCCCTTTGTTAAAAGTGCATGCCTTTCACGTCCACTCCTTGCACTCCTCTGGGTTGGGATGGGTGGAGAACTGTCAAAGGTTTGGTGGGGTGAGGGTGAAAGGAGACTTGGAACAAGACCCAAGTCAGAGTAGCCTGGGGTTTACGTAGACTCATAGAAAGTGAAGGTTGGAAGAGACCTCAGGAGGTCACATCTAGTTCAAGCCCCTCCCCAAGCAGGACCAGCCCCAACTACATCATCCCAGCCACGGCTTTGCTAGCCAGGTCTTCAAAACCTCCAAGGATGGAGAGTCCACCACCTCTCTGGGTAACCTATTCCAAGACTACTAGAAATGTGCAATCCATTCTAGCTGTCCCGTTTCAGGACAACTAGAATGCAGCACTGCTCTGGATATATATTCATTCCAACCAGGAGCCAGGAGAGCCTGGGTAAAGCCTGGAAATATGTTTTGTTTGCTACCAGGAGGCAATTGTGCAGGGAGAATACTTGCAGCTTTATGCCCTCTTTGAACTGCTGGTATGACACAGCTTCCAGCGAATTTGGAGCCAGAATAGAGTCTCATCGCTCACTGGGCGTGCAGATTCCTTCCATGCAAGTCCACTCCACTTTCTCCCCATCTTCTGTGAAGGGGGCTAGAAGGATTTGTGGGGATTTTCCATGTTGGGGTGAATTTCACCCCATCTCTCTTATATATGTTCCTTGTGCTCCAAGCTCTTCCTTTCTCTTTCAACCTTGATTTCAGATGCCTCAAGGTGAAGAATTAAGCAAGTTGTTGGTTTGGTCTGAAAAATACTCCTATGCCTTCACCAGATGGTTTATGGGGTTCATACCTGTCTTGATGATCAGTGATCCTGATTATGCCAAAATGGTGTTTGGCCGAGGAGGTAAGGACATTGCATCTTGTTTCAGGCAAAAAAAATCTATCAGCAAGTTCTCTCTCAGTACAAGTGTCTAATGATACTTCCACTGAGAGTAATCAGGACTCTTCTCCCTGCTTGGCTCTTCAATTAATTTCTGTTGTTCCCTCCATTATGCCCCTTGCCAAACCCTGAGCTCTCCAAATCTCTTTTGGGGTTTTGTCCCTACATAGAATATAAATGTTTCCCAGGAAAGTTATTGAGATAAGCATAGTATGGTCCCCTAGTGAGCATTTCAAACCTTCTCTCCTTCTCCTTTTCCTAGTTTTGGAAGCTACAGTGAGAATGATGAAGCACATTCTACAGCTATAGTAAACAAGTCCCCATTATGTTAAATGTTATACAAAGACCTTGTCAGTGATAGTCTTTGCCCTCAGTGAATTTGTCTTCTGGTATATTTACAAATCGTTCCTTTTAGGGAGCATCTATGCATGTGCTTTACTGTGGAGTAGGCTAATTTGCTCCACAGTAAATCATCACCATCTACACGTGCACTACCATTAGGCTGAAGTAGACTAACTTACTCTGCCATCAGATAATTCCATCAGGCACGGGTACTAGCTGATGGCAGATTAAATTAGTTCAAGTAAGCACACATGTAGATGGTGATGCCTGGATTAGTTCACTCTGGTGAAAGTTGCACTGGAGTTTACCAAGTCACAGTATTTGCATGTGTAGATGCACTCTTAGGGTGGGAAAGCATAGGAAAGGGGAGATTTTTGCCGTACACCCGAAATATGCTCTGAACCCTGGCTACCCAAAACTTGAGCATTTTATTGTGCAAGTACATGATCCCAGAAAAGCAGAACTACCCTGCTGGTTTTCTGTTAAAAAAAAAAAAAAGAAAGAAATAGCTGGGACCTGGTACATTAATGCCTTTAGAGATCTGGCTCAAGGTCTTCATCTGGCAATGACATCTCCACTGTGTTGTTTCACTGTGTTCATATATTTTAACCTTTAACACTGTGCTTTTGCCTCTTGTGTTGAAAATTACAGATCCAAAGTCTGATCTAGCCTACAAGTTCCTTGTTCCCTGGATTGGTACGTAGACTCGTGCTTTACCCTACCATGAAGCCAGCAAATATATGATGGACTATGAACACTCTATGACTTTAACCATGAACCCTAAGCATCAGGTTTTAACCTAATTTTTTTTGTTTGCGTCATTGGCTCACGGCTTGTTTTATGTTCTTGTCCTGTAGTTTCATGTATTTGATTCCTATTCATTTAAAAAGCCAGTGAAGACAGCTTTTCCCAATGGAAAGCTCTGGAAGACTACATATTAAACATAGGAATTACTACAGGCCAGTCCTCCTTAATCCAGAATCCTGCTCCAACAGCAGGTTATAGCTGAGATTTCGCAACCAATTCAGGATAAAGTTGGGCAAGTCAAATGCTTACCACTCTTATATAAATCAGCCTCACTGTTTTCAAGCTCCCCACTTGGTGACACCATTATACCCCACCTGGAGTTTAATGGAGGTGACTGGCAGCACTATTTGGGTTTCAAGATTATTGCCTTAAGTGATGCATGTTGAAAGAAAAGAAAAAGATCAGCTTGACTCAGAGCCTAGATTGACAAAGTGCTTCATGAAAGTGCCTTATTGACATATTTATACAAAGTCTGGGCATCAAAATCCTGAAAACCAAAAGCAGGCGGGAGGGGAAAAAAAGAAAGTTAAATATTTAAGGGTTTCTACATTCTTTTAAATACATTAAAAAGAGACCCAATTCCATTACCAATTTTTCTTCCTACAAGACTCTGAATTTTGGCCAGTCACTAGAGCCAAAGGACATAATGATACAGATGCTATGAAAATTAATAAGATTAACTCATAGTTTGGATGAAGTATATGACCATCTTTTTATTATTTCTTTTCCTCCAGGAAAAGGATTATTGGTTTTAAATGGGCCAAAGTGGTTCAAGCATCGGAGGCTGCTGACTCCAGCATTTCATTATGACATATTGAAACCCTACGTGTCATTGATTTCAGATTCTACCAAAGTGATGCTGGTAGGAATGGTCACAATTGTTGTATTCATTTCAGCTACAGAGGTAGGACAGTGACTGGATCTGGAACAGAAGGGAAGGAACTGGAGTGAGAAGTTACATAGACCTTCTTTCCCAGAAATGTACTACAGCCATGTTAGTAAAAGGCCCAGATCCTCATATGGTGTAAAAATCACCAAAGCTCCTTTGAAGTTGGTTGAGCTACAACAATTTATTTCAGCCAAGGGTAGACCCAATGTATTGTCTTTCATCTGGTAAAATAGATAGGAATAAAATCAGAGTATAATATTTTTCATCCCAGTAGTGGTGAACTGTAACAGAGCAGCTTTAGTGCTCTGTCACTAAGGGCTAGACCAGGGAGATGGCAGGTGCCTGACTAGGGCAGCCATTTAGTGATCAGCTCCCTGGGGCAGAGGGAGAAGTTTGAGATCCAACAGCAGAGAAGAAACATCTCCCGGCTGAGCTCTGGCTCCAGGAACACCCTGGAGGTAAGGATGAGGCTATGGGGAAGGAGGGGGCCTCAGTAGGAGGGAAAGGCACATGAGTCCCTGGGGTTGTAAGACCCCAAGCCTAAGAAGGGGGCAGGAAGAGTCAAGTGCCCAGGGAGGGGCCTGTGGCTAAAGTCAGCTTAGTGTTAGGTAAGGACCATCACCTACAGAGTACGCTACAAGAAGCGCCCGAAAGGTTGCGGGGTGGGAATCGCCCAGACTGTTATGGAAGCAAATGGCTTGAAGGCCACTCAGGAGGAACAGGGAAGGTTGATATGAATGAGGCCCAGCATGAAGCAGTTTGACTTGGCTTCTGGCCGGACCACTTATAATTATGGATGCAATCTGTGAGGCATTGGCTATGGTTTAAGGGATGTTCAGAGCCGTGGATAGCACCCCCTAGCATCAGGCAATAGAATGGGCAGCCCACCACATTATATCATCCACTAGTTATTATACCAGCAAAGTCATGGCAGGCGAGACTGGAGCAGTCTGCCCTACTTAAACAGGCGGGCCAACTTATGTCCTGGCCCTGGAAGTAACACCTGTCACATGAACATAGAAAAAGAAATCTGTGGACTATACTGCCCCCAAGAAAGCAAACTATATTGAAGATAATATAGGGAGTCAGAGCCAAACAAGAAGGGAGACTGAGAAACAAGAGTAGAGAAGGGAAGATGAAGAGAAAACAAATTAAACAAGAGGTATATACACTCTTAAAGAACATATGTATTGTAAAAACATTTTCTAGACCAATTTTTGGTGAGAGTACTTCCATCTCAAATATTTTCTTAAACCAAAAGTCATCAAATTCATACTTCACATGTCTCTGATGACGATGAAGATAAAATCTGTGGGCAATTTATCCTCCACTGAATAGAGTGGGTATGTTCTAACCAAACAGTCCTCTCTTGCCATTTAATTAGTAAAACCTTAACTTGCAATAATTGTTTTCTAACATTGGCAAGAGATAAAGAAATCAAGTAATTTATTCATTACTAGAAGACCGAGGAAAGAGTAAACATATTCTTTAGCACAACTGGAATGCAAGAAAATGTGACATGCTAGAAGGATTTGATATCCCTTTACATTGACAGGTGTATGGCTGATTATAGTCAACTATGAAATTCACTAGGATGACTCAAACAGGTAGAATGCATATTAAAATGTCCAGCAGTGTCTTCTGGGTTTTAGGTACACCTATAGCAGTAAAGACTATAGAAAATCTGACTGGCATTAAGCAATCAATTAGTGCATATGGGTTTCCCCTCTTTCCTTCTTAGTCACCCAATTTGGGCATGTTTCCTTAAATTCATAGATTCATAGATTCATAGATTCATAGATTAAGGGTCGGAAGGGACCTAGTAGATCTTCTAGCCCGACCCCCCGCCAGGGCGGGAGAACAACAAAAACCCCAAAAAGAGAAATGGGACTCAAACGAGTCCAGCTAGGTGGGCATCCAGCCTCTTCTTAA